ATAGAGAAAACACAAAATAAAAAAAAAAATATGTTCTCTCTTATAAAGTATAATAAAAATAACCTGATGGAAAAAAAATCAATAGGAAAACTAATGCATCGAAAAAATGGGGGGGGGAATATCCTGGGCCGGGAATAACTCTCCAGGTAGAAAAAATCAGTGGGAAAAATTAGCAGGTGGCAAGTAGCTACCGTAATAGTGCTATATTCTGTAAAGTAAAGCCTCAAACCACCTCGATTTTGAGTCTACTAAATTTAAGAATCTTTCCAGGCTTTTGCAGATATAGCCAGAACTAACTTAATATTTGGATTTTTTTGATAGCAGATTATTTTTATTTTTTATTTTTAGATCTCAAAGACAAGCTTGCGTACAAAAAAACATGTGCATTCATCTTCTATACACAATTAAAAATAAAAATTTAAAAGTAGATAGACATTTTGAAAACAACAAAAACAATTTCTCCCATATTACAGAAACTTCTTTGTTGAAACTAATACAGAAACAAATTCTTTTGTATTTAAAATATTTTTTTTAAATGAATTAAGAAACATTAGAACATTCAAGATTAAATACATTAAAAATAACAAGCTTCTGTTCTTTTGATAGTTAATATATATATATATATATATTTTAGGAATTTCGTTGTCTTTATTTATAATGAGAAAATTATTTAACAAAATATTTAATTTAATTTGTTTTTATTTTTGGATAGCTTCATGGATAATCAACAGTTTGACAATGAATGCGCAAGACCACAGCCAAAGCTTTTGGTGAATTGAATCTCAAACGCGATAACGAAAGCTCTCTAATGACTCAAGTTACTGCAATCTATAGTTTCAATTTTATGCACATTTTAGATAAATTTGGCGGCCATTTTGAAAAATGTATACAAGGAGTAAAATCAAGTGTCAACAGGGGTTAGGGTGATCAGAAGGGATTAATTAGGATATCTGGCTATGTGGATTGCTTCTAACATTCCACTCCCCCTAACTCATTTTTGAAAGATTTTTTTTTCTAGTCTAAAAGCTTTATGTTAACGCAATTTGCATTTTTAAAAAGTAGCTACAGCTATGGTCAACACAAAATTACCGCGAAAAAACAATTTTCGCCTTCGACTTCTAACATTACGCAAGGTAGACAAACAAAAAATTCCTTGCCCTCTGCAAGGTCCGGTTTTCATTGCAATGGTAAGAACCCTTAACATCACACTCGCCATTACCACTGCCGCCATAGTTTGAGTCTCACTGACGTCGAGTTAGTTTTTATGTTTGGTTTTTTTTTTTTTACTCCATGCTTTTTTAATAAATTTAATTATTTTGTTTGTAATTTCAATATCACTTCTTATTGTAGCAATCAAGAAAATCTTACTATCATTTCTACAGACATAGTAAGTCTAGTTGTATTTACTCCCTCTAATTAAAGACCCATCCAATTGATTGTATAAATAATCATTGCTCACAATCCTCAGAATCTATTGTTCGTAGACTCGTCGCAACAACTCCTGCTCCTGTCGAGTACTTGTGTTTTCCTTGTACATATGCTTAATTTTTGACATCATGTACTTCGGACAGATTTCACGCAGTCGCTGTGACACTCGTGCATTCATAAATCCTTTCTCAAACTCTTATGCGCACTAAAAAGTTTAAAAAAAAAAAAAAATTGAACTGTACAAAATTCTATTTTTTGCTTATTTATTTGAATGTAGTATAGTGTACGTTCAGCAAGTACTGTTTATCAACCAGTCACAAAATGAATCTACAATCACACAGAGCAGTACTTCGGACAGATTTCACGCAGTCGCTGTGACACTCGTGCATTCATAAATCCTTTCTCAAACTCTTATGCGCACTAAAAAGTTAAAAAAAAAAAAAATTGAACTGTACAAAATTCTATTTTTTGCTTATTTATTTGAATGTAGTATAGTGTACGTTCAGCAAGTACTGTTTATCAACCAGTCACAAAATGAATCTACAATCACACAGAGCAGCATTCATCAATTAATAGTTAACCAAAATTGTTGGGGAAATTTTTAATAGTTTGATGTAAAAAAAAAACTCCACTTAGACTATCAGTATCATTCTGTATTAGACCAATCTGACCATGGATTAGTTTTCTTCATTATGCACATAGTGTCCTACACTGCCTGGATATAGAAATAAACCACACTAAGGCTATCATTCTTTACTATGTGTTCCACTTTTCTCATCCTGCATTTAATGATACACTGCCAGACCTAATGCCTATAGGCATTCATTCAACACATTTCTCAATGACATATCATGCTTTGTATATCCCATTACTGTATTATTACTAAATGTTATTTTATTTAGCCATCATTTGATGTCCAGCCATCTCATAAGTGCAATGTCTATTCCATGTTGGAGTACTCATACCACACTTAAATGTACTTTTCCTGCTTAAACATTATGTTTAACTATTATATTGTCCCTTCGCACTTGCGTTCATACCATAAAAAATGGTTGTATAAACCTATTTTTTCTTGTTTGTTCCATTCAATTTATCAATTTCTTTCACTTACTTTCCTTGATTTTTCTTTTCTTTTTCTTTTTATTTCTCTTTTCCTTTCCTCCTGTTTCCTATCTTTTCTTGTCCTTTCATTCACCTTTCTTCCACTTTCTTTTACCTTTCTATTTTTTTCCTTTCCTTTATATATCTTTTATTTTTTCTTTATTTCTTTTCATTTCCTTTATTTTTCTTTTTATTTCTTCTCTTTCCTTTGTGTTTTACAGGTGATCAATGAACCATTTGAACATGTTAATAAATGCATCAGCTTCAACATTAGTCTTTGCAAGGGAATGGTTGTCATCTTGATAACTCAACACTCTGCAAAAAAAAAAAAATACATTTGTTCTTTCTATAAAGTTGTTGAAAGGGTTTTTACTATTCAAAATTTGTTTCTTCCTAAACTTTAGCATGACTTGAATTTCCAACATAGTTTCTGTGCTGAGGTATATTACTTAATACAGATAGTCAAATGCTATAGACCCGGGTATTTTAAGGCTGGTGGCCAGAGCCAATCTGTTGGGGCCATGGTCGCAGACAGGTAAGAATTCTGTACTTGCTCTTTATTGCAATCACAATTCAACCCCTTTTATACAATTCAGTAATATATATTTATTTTATTTTATTTTATTCAGTATAAAACCAACAGCGATGAAAACCGCCACTAACATTTCTAAGGTCTATATAGGTTTGTTTAAATCAACTACATCAAATATGATAGTAATAATAATAATAATTGTCAATTTATATAGCGCATAAGGTAAAATACCTCTATCCGCTTTACAACATGGAGTGGGAAAAATTATTAAAAGTTTCACATAAAAAAATAATGAATAACAATAATGAAAACAACAACAAATATAAGTATACGATTACTATGTTAATAAATAAATAATTTGATAAAAAACAGAATTTTATCTACTCTTTTAAAAATCTATCTAATTGTTAAATATTTATTTTCTTAGTCTTATAACCTTACACCAAGTGCCTTTAAATTGGAGGTTATGCTCAGCAATATCAGGGCTGTATACTAGGGATACTGACACTGTTAATATTACCTTGTCTTGATACCTCTTGCTTGGAGAGCTCGTGCAAATTCATAGCCCTGTTGAGGAGGAACTCGTTTATCAGCTGTACCAATCATTATCATGGTTGGAGTCTTCACCTGTACAGTGCAACAAAGAACAAAAGTTATTGTAAATTAATGATGCTTGAATTAATACAGAAGAGTAGTATAACAAAAGGGCTATGGTTAATTAATTTGTTTAAAGACTCACCATGATGAAGAAATAATTAAAAGACATTGGCCTTGACTATAAACAAGCACAAAAACTAGCGATGGACAGAGAGAAATGGAAGAAGCTAATTGATATCAAATGACCAGTATGGGTTGTAAAACCCAGTCTAAAGACAGCTGAAGTAGAAGGAGAAAGGGCCAAAATATCTTTTAGAGTTGAGCTCACAGGCCAATGATAATATCTGAGTGATGAAGCAACTCATTACAATGTTTTTGGTAATTTCAAATTCTAATTTAAATTTCAATTTATACAAATAACCTCCAATAAGGAGATAAACAATCGAAAAAATAAAATCACAGATGAAATGTGTGAATAGGCTTTCGTCAACGAGCAGAACAAGAGCGTTTCTCCTTATATTGTGTAATTAGCATATATGGCATAAAGCATACATATATATTATATGCCTACATACATTTGCATACATACATGTATATATACACACATACATATAAAGAAATAAAGACAACCTACATTAAAAAGGTTTGGTGAGCATGATAACTGAGTAGAGGTTTTGTTGTTTAATACAAGTTTTTTTTTTTTTTTTTTTATCAATCAACGTCTTTAGACTGTCACAAATGGGATGCTCTGGAAAGGCTAAAGTCGGTCGCATGTAAAGGAAGGCACGCCAGCATCCAATACTAAGTGCAAGTTTTGTAGTTGACCCTTTACTCAAAAGAAAGGGCCTTAAGCTAATTAAGACACAGAAAACAGGCAGTAATAACATGTGTAACACCCGAAAGGAACTTGTACTTAACAAGTGGTACAGCATGTGCTGATATTCAGTGTAATAGGCTCTACCTCAAGATGAACCTTTTAATTTACATGTGGTACAGCATGCACTCATATCCAGTATAATAGTACTCTAGAAAGAGCCCTGTAAGTGACATGTGGTACAGCGAGCGCTGATATCCAGTATAATGTCTATCCAGGAAGAACCCTGTATATGACAACTGATACAGCGAGCTCTGATATCCAGTATAATACCTACTCCAGGAAGAACCCTGTATATGACAACTGGTACAGCGAGCGCTGATATCCAGTATAATGTCTATCCAGGAAGAACCCTGTATATGACAACTGGTACAGCGAGCTCTGATATCCAGTATAATACCTACCCCAGGAAGAACCCTGTATATGACAACTGGTACAGCATGGGCTGATATCCAGTATAATACCTACTCCAGGAAGAACCCTGTATATGACAACTGGTACAGCATGGGCTGATATCCAGTATAATACCTACCCCAGGAAGAACCCTGTATATGACAACTGGTACAGCATGGGCTGATATCCAGTATAATACCTACCCCAGGAAGAACCCTGTATATGACAACTGGTACAGCGAGCGCTGATATCCAGTATAATACCTACTCCAGGAAGAACCCTGTATATGACAACTGGTACAGCATGGGCTGATATCCAATCCAATCAGAACATTTGTAAAGCACCTTTTTTGCAGATACGAAGCGCTGCACCCTACATATTTAGGCACCTCACAACCCACAGGCAGCCGTGATCATTGCCTAACCCAAGCACAGAACAAGTAAACAAATCAAAAGAACCAGTGGCAAAGAAGTACATGCTTCTACAGTAGTGAACGAGTGTGATGTTACCACACAGGGGTCAGAGAGTGGGTTTGTCTAGGTACAGAAAAACTGTGGTGTGTAGGCCTACATGTACAGAACGAGTGCGGATAACCACACGAAAAACCATACGTAACATGCAGGCTGTGTCACTACTGACAGTAATGCATGTACTGATATATTTACTGTACATACACAGGAGTATTTTATTATATGGATGGATTACATTTAATCATTTAAACTATGTAGCAGGGCGCTGGAGTTTAGAAGTGATGCACCTCCCATTAAAGCCTTCTGAATAGAGGTTATGTAGTTCTTCCTGTCTGGTGTATATGGGTGTATTGCAAAATCCTCTGTGTAGGTGATAGGAAAGTGAAGGGTTGAGAGTGCATAAATCACTGGATAAGAGGGGATGAAAGTTGTGAATTTCCCCAATTAAGCAGATCAAGTGGGAGTGGAATGATTAAAAAAAGATTTAAATTTACTTAGAGTACAATCAACGTGAACGGATTAAAGACGGATGACAAGAGAAAGAATGTGATGTTGACCTCTATCAGTCAAAACAAGACTGAGCTCTCAATCGTTTCATTGTTGTGCTACACACAAATATTAGGGTTACTGCAAAAATTAAAAATTAAAATAATGTAACTTTAAGTAAAGACTAGATATCAATATTTTGTTCACACCATATTGTAGTTGTCACAAGATAAAGAGAATGTTAAAACAATAAGAAATTGCATTCGATGTATAAGTAATATAAAAATAAACTAGAAATACTATGTTCAATAGAACATGAACCCAGTCATTTTTCAGGATTTAATTCCAAGATGACCTCTGTGACTTTTTGACCTTAAGCTGTGAACACCCCATGTTTGGTAGGAGCCTGTCTAATGTAATCGGTCCAATCTTTGTCACTAGCAATATTTGAAAATTTTCACCCTAATGACCCCTGTGACTTTTGACCTTTGACCTTAATTGACATTAAAAGCGTATTAAACATATTTACAATGTCCTCAGTATCATTCGTAATGATTTTGAGCTACATCAAAAAATATGGAAAAGACTGACCTTTGACCTATAAAATTTGAGTGAAGAGTAGTTTTTCGTGTTTAGAAGGTCCTAAGGATCATTCCTATTAAATTTGAGCTAAATTTGAAAATTTCACCCCAATGACCCTATGTGACCACTGATTCTAGGGTGCAGGTGGTGTCACTGGTTCTTTGACCAAATGTGATTGATTTGGTCCAAAAATTTATATGCATACCATATATAACTGTAAGTTAACATATTAATACGGATAGTTAAACAAGTTAAATAGCATTAATTAAATGAAATAGGCCTGTTATGCTACCAACAACCATAACAGAGAATTTGAAATAAAAAGTAGGCGGCTCGTAATACTTGTAGAGGAGAATCACTAATGTGTACTGAACGCAAAAATATTGTAGAAGAGCAGACATGGTACTGTAATAATCAAAGCATCACATCCTTCCTTCTGCACTCCTTAACAGAAACAATATTGCTGCTGCTTGCCTGAGTATTAGTTGATGCAGGCAAATATAGGTAAGACTAGGAAATAGGTGTGATATCCAAAGGCCAAAAGGGCAAGTACGTTAAAAATAGATTACCTGTTTTCTTTCCTTTCTTATGTGAAGCCGGATGCAAATAAAAAAAAAATAATCTACACTGTGTCTTTAGACTTCATCAGTGTTGCAAAAACATCAATTGATTGGATAATGCTTTGATCATTGGCACACCTTTATGGTGTAACCCTTACAATGACTAGTCAATAATTATTTTATATACAGAAAACAAAAAGCCAATTAAACAAATAATATATTCTGCCTTATAAAATAATACAATGAACATCTATGGCCGTTTGCTGTTTTATGGGTTTTTCCCATTTGCCTTTTAAAATTTATATATTACAGAATCTCTATTGAGATCCAGCGGGCTGCCACTGATGCACAGTAGAGATTGCATCTTTAGATCTCCGATCTTGTTCACAAAGTCACGGACTAGTGTTGTCTCGTAAGAATTTTGTAGGACGCGTAAAGAATGACAAAATATTCTCTGTATCTACTGGAACTGAGCCACATAGCTTGTATTCCACTATTTGCATTCACACCTGGGCTGTGTATATATATTGCCTTGGTTTGGCTCTAGATGTGTATAAGAGACAGATATATATGTGTGTGTGTGTGTGTGTTTGTGTGTGTTATGAAATTGATCAAGAAATTAAGATCAGCTTCAGCTTTTCTGCATTTTTTGAGAAGTTTTTTTATTATTTGCTTTTGATTTTATTTTTTCACACAGGCCAGATTTAATGACTTCGCCTATCGGAACCAGCGCATTAAGGTGATTCTGTTACAACCTTCAGTAACAGAAATTTTCAGAGTTGTTAACCAAGCTAACAACTGACACGATGCATAGTTTGTTTAGGGTAAGGTATGTGGGTCATTTGGCCTGAGTGGAGTGACGTCCTTACCCTATGATGCATATATACTAATGTACTGTATTTTTTGATTTACTATTTTATGTGGATATTGGCCTTAGATGGCACTTCTAGCAATAAAGAAAAATAAAATTGAATTGACCAATAACAACTGGGCCAGGAATAATGTGCTTGTCTAACAAATACATGTGTAGTGTTACGAATACAAATGTTTACATGTTTATGCTGTAATTTTGTGTGGAATTGGCAACAAACATCCAAATATAATGACTTAGTCTATGTAGAGTATCTTGTGTCTATGTTTGTCTTGTGAAGGAATATGGCACTAAAAGAAAGTGATTAACACTGTTAGGATTGTTCTTGACCTAAAATATAGATAATGAATTTACCTTGTCTACATGAGATAACGGTGACTTCTGAAACATTGTCCCATACACTTCTGCTGATGGCAAACGAGAATGATAATAGTCGCCTAATCCACTTTCAGTATAGTTCCTTCAGATAATGATCACACATTATTAGAATTACAAGTTGTTCCCTGTAAAAACTGCTACCATAAAATACAACTCAGTGGCAAATAAAGGGGTTGGGGAGGGGCTCTTCTTGCCCAGTACTGTACTTTTAATTTATCTTAAATGTATTATAAATTAATCTAGATACAATGTAGTACACTATAATTTAATAACTTCTTTTGTTTGTACAGTATTTGAATTTCTGAGGTGCTTTAGGATGTTCTAGCAATATTTTGAATATGTTAGATTCAAATAGGCTTTATGCATTTTAAATTGTATTTAATCTAATACATCTTTAATGTCTTAACCTGGTTTCTGGTTTTAAGTTCATTTTAAGCCTTTTCACTACAGTATCTGAAGTTGACAATCACTAGAACACCATGTGTCTGTTCTATGATTTCAATATAAGTAAACAAGATTATGCCAAGTGCCTCTTTATAATGTATACTTTCAATTATTGTAATTTCTTACCAATCAGGTATATCGGTGGCTCCCAGCTTGGCTGTAATATAAACATACATATTCAAGTATTCAAACTTTAATTTAAACCTTGCAGAACAATATCTGCATGTGTATGTGAGGCAAAATAGATAATAATTATTATTATTTAACAAGGTTTATACCATGGACATATCAGAATATTTTGGGAACGCAACAGAGTGGTGATGGATGGACGACCCTTGGCAGTTTATGCATCTATTTTGTCTGTTTTCCTCACTACTTCAGTTGTTTTGAAAAATATTTATATAAGAAACATTATTAAAAAAAAAATGTATAAATAAATAAAAGAAAATCCAAAAAAAGGCTGCAGCTCTCTCCAGGTGGAAATGGTGCCTCAAGCACCTCTCTGAGATTCATACGTGCACCTTATAAAATGACAATATTATGGACAAACTGCTGAAGATGCATTTTCATCTAGCAACGGACACAAAATCACTCATAATCAACATGCATGGGGAATATATATGCATGTAATCAGCACTAACGTCATTTTGAAATCATTCACCTCCTACAAGGTAATCATTTATACTCCTTGATGAAGAAAGCAAATGCAGGACTGGACAAAAGCAGTCTGACGAGCATTGGCCTTGAGCCACCGACCCTCCGATGGAAAGCCCATCGCCTTATATGCTTCTACAGTAATAATAGTAATTTTCACTACATCAAAACAAAAATTTACTTATAGATTTTTAATATTGTTATTATTATTTGTTACTATCATTATATAAATAAACTACCATTTTAGAGAAAGTAATTCTGGATGCTGTCCCATACCTGGTCTGTGCCTGTTTAATGTCTTACATGGGAAAATATATAATAAATAGTTATCATTACTACTCAGAATATTTATAATTGCCATCTTTAAAAACTTCTTTCATGAGGCGAAAGCACAAAACTTTGTAGGTCTGAGAATATTTAATATTTTAATTTTTTTTAATTTTGTTTTCTTTGTGTTTATATGTGATTTTTTATTTAAAATTTTTTTTTTTTAAATATTTTTTTTTTGATAATTTAGTGATAACCTTGTTATTGTCCATTAATCAACCATAACAATCAGTAAGACTACAGTAGCTCAGAAAATAAGGTGATTTGAGGTCATTTTTAACTACTTGAGTGTGAGGTTTTTGCTTCAAACATTTTCAATGGGGATGGGAACAGCTCAAGTATAGTTTGGGCGTTCCTCCTGCACACTCCTTAGATATGATATAATTACACCTAATACTCACATGCCATGTTTGTCACGGGGTTCCTGGCTACACAAGCCTTAAATGCATTCTAAAGTATCAAATATAAACACAGATGAAAACATGTCAAAATATATAACCATTGAAAATACATTCATAAATAAAAAGATATCTCATTAATGTAAAAAGATGTTCAATAAATTTAAAATTTATAGAGAAGGAAAATGTATTTCCTTTTTCTGTTTTAACTATAATTGGAATCATTATAGTAAAAATCCTCACAATGTTTATGAGCTAATTTATGCAATCAGATTTAATATAGATATATTACTTTTAGTAAAAGCTTGAATTAATCAAAACAGCACCTGGACTCTATATAATTTCATTAGGATTTTTGGTTGTTAAAAACTAATATTACTAAAATAAACTTATGAGTAATATATGTGCTTGCAACATTTTCTTTGTCCACAGTTTGCCCTTCAATTCAAAATCCCTTTGGGACCTGAACATTTGGGGTGGTATTGGTGTTCAGTCTCCAATTACAGGGTCAGGGATGTAGTTATTATGGTGGACGGAGCCACCCAGTCTTGAAGTTTTCCACCCAGTCTAAAGCTAATTTCACCCACCCACCTTTAAAATGTCTATCACCCACCCATAGCTTTCTACAGCTACAACTCTGTAGGGTTAGCTTGTGTTAAAAGATTGAAGATTGTTATTTTGTTCTTTCAAAAGTGGTCTCGAATTAGAGGGGTCTTAAATTGGATGGTACACTGTACTTGGTTATATTCCACTAATATATTACTATTAGCATGTTAACTTACTGGGAACTGGCCAATCAGATGACACACCAGAAATCCTCCATGTGACCCACCTTGAAGCACGACCTTGTTACCGTCGGCAACACCATCTGCTATCGTTTGATCAATGGCTTGCTAAAAGATAAAAAAAAGAAATCAACCTCCATTACATTACGAATAGAAATTATTTAATCGATACATGGCACCAAGCCACCAAAGCTTTTGTGGTCTATTGTTATAGTTGTAGTGCTGTGTGAAGTGTTCCAGGTTTTAGTCTTGGAACACTTATATCTTAATTGACTGTTGGTTGATTTCATGCTCCTACTGGCCAATTTTCCAATATTATTAAACATTTGCATAATTATAACAAATCATAAATGTTGTTTTTCTACATATGAACCCATCTACATAAATTTATCATATATTTTTGGCCTATTATAGAGGACTCACACAGGTTGTTGC